TGTGTGTGTGTCTGTGTGTTGTGACTGCTCCTGTGTGTGTGTCTGTGTTGTGACTGCTCCTGTGTGTGTGTCTGTGTGTTGTGGCTGCTCCTGTGTGTGTGTCTGTGTTGTGACTGCTCCTGTGTGTGTATCCATGTGTGTGCCGTGGCTGCTCCTGTGTGTGTGTCTGTGTGTTGTGACTGCTCCTGTGTGTGTGTCTGTGTGTTGTGACTGCTCCTGTGTGTGTGTCTGTGTGCCATGGCTGCTCCTGTGTGTGTGTCTGTGTGTTGTGACTGCTCCTGTGTGTGTGTCTGTGTGCCGTGGCTGCTCCTGTGTGTGTGTCTGTGTTGTGACTGCTCCTGTGTGTGTGTCTGTGTGTTGTGACTGCTCCTGTGTGTGTGTCTGTGTGTTGTGACTGCTCCTGTGTGTGTGTCTGTGTGTTGTGACTGCTCCTGTGTGTGTGTCTGTGTTGTGGCTGCTCCTGTGTGTGTGTCTGTGTGTTGTGACTGCTCCTGTGTGTGTGTCTGTGTGTTGTGACTGCTCCTGTGTGTGTGTCTGTGTGTGCCGTGGCTGCTCCTGTGTGTGTGTCTGTGTGTTGTGGCTGCTCCTGTGTGTGTGTCTGTGTGCCATGGCTGCTCCTGTGTGTGTGTCTGTGTGTTGTGACTGCTCCTGTGTGTGTGTCTGTGTGCCATGGCTGCTCCTGTGTGTGTGTCTGTGTGTTGTGACTGCTCCTGTGTGTGTGTCTGTGTGTTGTGACTGCTCCTGTGTGTGTGTCTGTGTGTTGTGACTGCTCCTGTGTGTGTGTCTGTGTGTGCCGTGGCTGCTCCTGTGTGTGTGTCTGTGTGCCATGGCTGCTCCTGTGTGTGTGTCTGTGTGTTGTGGCTGCTCCTGTGTGTGTGTCTGTGTGCCATGGCTGCTCCTGTGTGTGTGTCTGTGTGTTGTGACTGCTCCTGTGTGTGTGTCTGTGTGTTGTGACTGCTCCTGTGTGTGTGTCTGTGTGTGCCGTGGCTGCTCCTGTGTGTGTGTCTGTGTGCCCTTGGAACTCCTGCTGGACCTCGGGATGTGGATGTGGACCCCATGTCCAGCTCCGACGAAAGGTTGAAGGTGGTAGGAAACGTTACTTGGATGCTGCCATCACTGCCTGGGTGACTGACTGTGGGAGACTGTGTGGGGGTCAGGGACAGTCCAGCAGCATCCCACAGGCCCTGGACACGCCCCATCGCTACAACTGGCTGTAGAACCACAACACCTTTAACTCCTTTTTAGAGGTCACAGAGGCACAGTGCCACCCAGTCAATCACAAGTTTCCCTTTATGGTCACCCCAATGTGGACCCAGGGGAGCAGGTCTCTGGGCAGGATCCCCCTGTGGACTCCTTCGCCAGGGCTGGGCCTGCTCTGGGACAGCTGTGGCCTGGCTGCTCTCATGTCACAGATGGCAGGCCAGTTGGTTGGAGCTCATGGATCTCATGTCCTCTGCACTTAGTGCAGCACGCAGCTCACCCCAGCCAGGAGTCAGTGTGTGTCCCCAGGGAACTAGGGGTGTAGACAGAGCTAACTAGGAAAACAGTGGCCGTGGCTGTTGAGCTGGGCCGTGTGCTGGGGCCCAGCTGGTGGACACTCTGCCGGGGCTGCTCTGGGCTTGCTGAGTAGGGCCTGCTGGGCTGACAGCAGCCCTGCTGGGCTCAGGAGCTTGGCTGGCACAGGAGTGACTCTGCTGGCTGCTCAGACACATGGCCCGGGACTCACACACAGTCGGTTGATCACTTAGTCGGGCTATGTCTGCTCAAGCCCGGCCTTGGCTGCTCATGCCAACCGGGTCTCCATGGTGTGGCCCTAGCCGGCTGCCTTAGATGTGGTCTGGGTTCCCTCTTGTCTGACACCCTCTTCACTTCCCCAGAGATGTGGCTGGTTCTCACCGAGGACTTTGTGGAATCTGAGTGACCCGTGGGCAGCACTAGGTAGCCCCACTCCTCGTAGGATGAGATGGAGACGGGTGAGGCCCTGAGGCAGCCTGCCCCTGTGAGGGCTCCAGCTCATCTCCACACATCCAGAGGCCATCCTCAGCCTGCGGTGGGACTGGACTGGCCATTGCTGCCCCTGGAGCTGCACCCTCAGGTTCTGGCTGGTTTTCTGTGTGCCCGCCTATTCTGTGGGGGCAGGGCCGAGGTGGGCACCACCGGGACTCAGTGTGCCCTTTGTGCCCGGAACTCAGTTTCTGCTTTCACGCTCTGCGGGTTTTGCCTGGGAATCATGCTGGTTTTCATGACTGAAGCAGTTTGCACCACTGTTTACACTGCCGATGAGCTGAGAGGCCCGTCTTCCTTCTGAGTTTTACAGTGTTTTAACCCTATTTGACTATTTGGGAAGACATTTTCCCATGAAAATGAGGGGTAGATTATGGATGTCAAAGTCCCTCTGCTCTCTCCCACATGGGATGGAAGAAGCCCATACCCCGCCTTGCAGGATCCAAGGTCATCAGAAAGACAACCAGGAGCACTGAGCGGTCCGTAGAAACAGAACAGTGAACTTCCTTCGGGGCTAGGGAGAGGAGCTTTCTCTGGTTCTTGCCTGGTTCTGACTTTAGGTCCCTACCCTCTCTCATAATGACCATCAGGATCGCTCCAGAAACCCCTCAAAACAAACTAACAAACAAAAAAAAAAACCCTAGAATAGATAGAGAACAGCAAGGAAAGCTTAGAAACAGGAAACAGTCAGCAGGGATGCACTTATAACTCACTGGGTGGGACACAAAGATTAGTTACTCCTCACTGGGGTATTGAAGATTTCTCTGCACACCCCTCCTAAAACTGTTCACCTAAACTGTTGACATATGTCTTGTTAGAGTTATAGAGTTAGACTACCCGAAAAACAGCCAGGTTCTGCAAAATCATGCTTCAACGCTATAAACTGCTCAATACTAAAATTAAAATAGACATGAGACAGCTGAATAGTAATCTATAGCCATTTTAAGGTGTATAGAGCCCGGTTGTATATAGACTAATAATTGTAATGTCCATGTAGAAGTCATAGGATGTGGTTCAGAACTTGCACTCTTTTTCCTCTCTCTCTCTTTTAACATGCTGGTTACACAATACCATGTCAACTAATTCCATTGCATTATAAATTGTTGCCGATGTAATGTCGGGGCTTTTAATTGATTGGGATGATACTCTGTCAGCTCTACCTTCAGACCAGAGATGGTCTCCCCAAGAAACCGTTGAACTTATCTGGACAATAAGATGCTGGACTTTATGCTTTGTACATGCTTGCAAGGAAAGAATCTCAACTGAATTTGAACTGTGGTAATGCAACAAGGTGGAAGAATCCACCAAGGGGGGGCGGGTTTTGGGGAGTGGAGGGGGGAATCCTAGTGCCTATAAAACTGTGTCACATAATGCAATGTAATCAATAAAGAAAAAAAAAAGTCCCTTTGCTCAGCTGGCCCTCACTTCATGGTTGAGGCAGGACTAGACCGAGGCCCTGCCCTGTCTGTAGCTACAGCCCGGCCCCAGCAGCCTCTGATCCTCCCCCTCCTCCTGATGGAAACCACTGCCCCCTGGTGCTGGGCTTTGGCCACCACTTGTGGCTCCCCAACTTCGGCATTGCAGGCCTGTGACAGGGCCACGAGCAGGCGGGCTGGGTTGCACACCAAGGCGCCCGAGCTTTAGGGGATGTCATTTGTAGCCCGTGGCCTGGGTGCCCTGCCTCAAGCTTTGCAGTGTGTCTGGGCTTCTGACTGGAGATCCCAGGCCTGGCTTGCCCCCTCCTGGTCCTGTAGTGACACAACCAGTCATGTGAGGACACAACTAGTTATGTGACATAAGTAATCATGTGAAAACATAACTAGTGTGAGAGCCTAACTAGTCACTCAGGCTGGAGCAGTCCTCCTGGGCAGCTGGACCGTCTCTACTCAGAAGCTGAATGCCCAGCCTCTGGTGGCTGTAAGCAGCCTGAAGGTGTGGAGGTCTCCTTCCATGTACCCATGGGCCTGACCTGAAACTTGTGCTGGAGAAGTCCCAGACTCAACTGCAAACCTGGGGCCCCCTGAGCCCGGGGCTCCTACAGGGCTCAGCAAACCTGGGGCCCCCTGAGGCCGAGGCTCCTGCCTTGCGGGTCTCTGTAGAGGGCAGGGTCCTGCACCTGGCCTAGGACCTCAGGACCCCCACCCACTGCACCCCAGGAGCCCCTAGCATGAACGTGCTGGTGTCAGTAACAGAGTGTGGGCCGTGCTGTTCGGCATCAGGCAACGCATTGCATTGCGTGTGCATGCACCCCACAGGGCCAGAGTGGATGCAAGTCCTGGTGCCTGAAGTGCACAAACCCATGAGCTCACTGCAAGAGGAGGGTACTTGGAGCATCCAGGTGGCCAGCAGTGCCGGCTGTAGGGGCCTGTGTCCCAGAGCTGTGCAGGCTGCAGGGCACGCAGGAGCAGGGGTCCCCCAAACACTGACGTCACACCACAAACTGGCTCTCTAGAGCCCAGATCCCCAGCAGGTGGAAGGGAGAGCTGGGGCAGGGTCCCTTTCAGGAGTGTCTGAGTAACTAGACCCTGTGGAGGCCAGATACACTTCCTGGGGTAGGTGGGTGGTAGGAGGGCTCAGAACCCTTTGCCCACACACGTGTTCTGTGGCCAGCTTCACCACAAAGCTTCAGGTCCTCTGACTACGGGCAATAGGTGGACACTGCGTCCTCGTGCAGACCAGGAAGTCTGGTCTAGGGCAACACAGGTGCACCTGCCGGAATTTCCAGAAAGGTGGATGCCACAGAGGAGAGCAACAGGGCCGATGATGTCCCCACCCCCTCATTGCTCCGGGGCCAGGAAGCTGCAGTTCCAGGCTCAGCCCCGAGAACCTGACACCTCCCACGTGGTGGGGTTCACTCTCATTGGTGGCGGTGGGCGGAGACATCAGGGCAGTACCCAGCCACTTGGGGAAAGCTCCAACAGTCTCACAGTGACCAGTGCTGGTGCCATTACAGCTGGCTGGAGGCAGCAGAGGCAGGGATGGAAGCTGGTCCCGGGATGGAGAGGTTCCAGGCTGCGATGGTGCTGGGGGCAGTCGGAGATGCCCTCGGCTACAGCCACACCGGCAGGGAGAATGGCACTGGGGGCCTGGGCCACCTAGTGCTATCCCCAACAGAGTGGCCCGTGAGCGACAACACCATCATGCACATGGCCACCGCTGAGGCCCTCACCACAGGTAGGCATGGAGTGTGCAGTAGTGCCTGCCGCTGCTGCCCACCGTGGCAGATGGCTGGTCCATGGATGCCCACTGTGGCTCAGGGTCTGTGGTGGCAATTGGGACTCTTGATTTGCATGGGAAAGGAGTCCCAGCGAAGCACTCGCTTCTAGTGGAGCTGAGGCCCTGGCACAGAGTGGGTGGGCCCCTGGACCCTCCCCATTGTGTCATCGTAATGCTCAGAAGCCTGTGCGGTCAGGGGTCAGGGAGGCAGGACCCCAGCTAGAGTGTAGGGAGAAACTGAGACACACTCCCCACTTGGCGAGTGGGTTGTGGACCAGTTTGTGCGTGGAGCCGATCTCACAGGAGCAGCGGTATGTGTGCTGCCCACCCCTACCACTACCCAATGTGGCCTGGGCCACTCCCACTGCCCAGTAAGGCCTCTAAGTCACTGGGGCCCCCTGTGCTGGCCGTCTGGCGTGCATGGCTCCGTTTAGCTCCGAAGTCATTGTATAGGAATGCCACCCACTCCAAGAGCCCTAAATAGCCCGATACAGCCGAGGTGTGCTGCAGGGTGAGGCACCAGTGATTTGGCAGGCAATACAGCCCCCTGAGTCCACCCAGTACCCTGTTCCCAAGGTTGGCAGGCAGCATCTCAGTAGCCCTGTGAGCTACAGAGGCTATGGGGGCCGTCACACCCGCCCCTAGATAGGGTGGGTGTGGAGCGGCTGAGCTGTGTGGCCCAGCCCTTGGGAGCGCTGGCCCCCACCCAGGTAAGGTTGCAAACAGTGGGGTCCCTGACTTGCCATCTCCTCTGCTGGCAGCTGTTCCATTGCACTGAAGCGCACTGTTGAGGCTTCTTCCCTTGAGCCACTACCAGCCACATAGGAGCATGGGGGGCCAAGCTGTGGTGGCTTCAGGCATGCCTTGAATGTCTACCCCTAACTCTACTTGTTCATTCTCACACAAGTGAGGGTTTGGCTGGGTGTCTGGCGCCAGCAGCCATGTACAGATGGAGCCACTGAGCTACCCCATGCTCCGTCCCCGGCCGTGACTGTTTGCCCATGATGCCTACATGACGGGGTCTTCCTGACAGGGCCCATGTGGGGATCTATTTCCCGCTGTGTCTACCCAAGCTCCATGTGTGGGTCCCCAGCCAGATGCCAGGCATACAGTGGGCGTGGCCTCGGGCAGCCCAGCTCCCTCCCTCCTCGGCTAGTCTCCCCAACACCAGGACTGTGTTGAGCCCTGCCACAGGAGCATTCAGACCTAATTCCCCCCTCAGGACCACCGTGTTTCACCTTCCCCTGTGGCCTGCACACCTCATCCCTGCCAAGTCCCTTCACTCTAGCCGCCAACTCACAGCTGGGGCCATGGAATGCACCCCCTGCCTTCCCCCTTGCCACCTAGTCCTGCTTTAACCGCCACAGCCCCACAGAGGTCGTGCCAGGCCCTCCAACCCTCACCTCTGGCTGTAGGGGGCGACACTGGCCTTTGTCATCTGTTGTTTCCCTCCCCTCTCCCCAAAGCTGAACACCCGTGGCACCATGTGAGGACAGCTGTAGGTCCCTGGGTGCTCAGTGCTGGGCCCAGCTTCCAGGAGCATGGCTCTCTGTCCATCCTGAGATAGCTCATGACTTGCTGTCAGCACCCACCAATGGGCACTTAGCCTGGCAGCTGACATGCCTGCTGGGCCTGGGTCCCTGTCCTTGATCTAGTTTTGCACAGACTCACAAACTAGAGGCAGTGGGAGGTGGCTGAACCTTGGGGTTCCACACAGGAGCTCCCAGTGGTGTCCCAACCCAGCCACCAGGAGCATCCAGGGTGAACCAGCAGGTGGGGACTCCCCCTTTCCCCACCCACTCAGTCCTCCTGCCCTCAGGGCATCCTGGTATGGGGCTGTGCTGGCCCTGGAGGTCCCCTGTTTCTGCCCGTACCCTGATGACCCCTCTAATCCCCAGACTACTGGTGCCTGGATGATCTGTACCGGGAGATGGTGCGGGCCTACGTGCACGCTGTGGAGAAACTTCCAGATCGGCGGCCAGACCCTGCCACCCTCGAGGGCTGTTCCCAGCTGAAGCCAGACAACTACCTGCTGGCCTGGCACACGCCCTTCAATGAAAAGGGTACGTGTGGCGGGGGGGGGGGGAGAGACGAGGAGGGTGGGCGTGTGGGGATGAGGACAGTGGATGGGGAGGACAAGGGCGGTAGAGGGGACAAGGACCGTGGGTGTGGGGGGGGATGAGAATGGTGGACAGGGGCAACAAGGACCGTGGGCATGGGTGGATGAGGATTGGGGGTGTAGGGGAGACGAGGACAGTGGGCGGAGGGGATGAGGATGGGTGTGGGGAAGACAAGGATGGCGGGTGTGGGGGAGACAAGGATGGCGGGTGTCGGGGAGATGAGGACAGTGGGCATGGGGAGACAAGGATGGCAGGTGTGGGGTCACTTTTCCAGGATGCCAGGCTGACTCCCAGGAAACTTCCCCTCAGCTGTTCCTGCTTGTAACACTGAGTGCAGGCAGTGTAGACTGACACGGGAAAACAGTATAGACGTGTGATGTGTGCTCATACACTGGTCACTGTGTCTGCCTCGGGCACCCTGAGGTCCACCACAGTGCGAAGCTCTGCTGTGTGCAGACAGCCAGTCTAGAGCCCTGCTGGGAGTCACATCCTCCCACATTCCCACTGTGGGCCAGGGCCAGTGCTTCAGTGCCACGCAGGGCCCTAGGCTGACTGTGGCATCCCTGGAGCTCCCATGTGCCCACCCTGGTCTCTGTGCCTCACGTCGTGCAACCCCCAGGCCTGTGCCTGCCTCTGCTTCCTCTAGGTGTGTGCAGGTTTGTATAAAAAGCTGTGTGAGTGAAGGTCATGTGTGTGGAGTGATGTGTGAAAGGTTGCATGTGTGGAAGTTTGAAAGGTTGTGTGTGAGAGATTGTATGTGCAAGCTCATGGGCAGGAGACCCATGTGCTCCAGCATCGGTGACCACACAGCCCCAGCCATGGTGTCCTGGACACTTGCTGTGGGTCCTGTGACATGGACACAGATCCCGGGTGATGGAGACAAACCCTGGGCTGATAGCCACGCTCCTAGTGGCCTGTTTGCTGTTGGTGCTTGTCCACAGGGGGCCTGGGAGAGGCAGCTCAGGGCCAGGCAGAACACGTTCAGATCTGAGAGTGTGGCTTGTCCAATACACAGGAGATAGGAAGGGGACTGGTGTCAGGCTCTTGGTCCATGCGTGGCCCCCGCAAGTGGACAATGACGAATCAGGGACCCGAGGCCGCTGGGAGAAGCAGAGTGGCAGAGGATTACGGGTGCCCATAGCTTCCCCACAGGCTGCTCCCCACGCCAGAGAAAGGTGAAATGCCTGCTGGATACAGTGTCCAGCTCTCAGAGGAGGGTCAGGGGCAGCCATGATGGCAAGAACCCCTGCTGGATGGACTCCAGGGTGCCCAGCCCAGGCAGGTGGCCCCAGTGCATTTAGAGCCATGGTGAGCTGCCCTCCATGCCCAGTGGACCACATCTGCATGGACTCACAGAGAGGCAATTATGTGAGGGTCAGGAGCCGGGAGTGGATCCTGCCTGAGCAGCTGTTGGAGTAGCTGAGGACTGCTGGTAGTCAAAGGGGATGTGCCTAGACATGCCAGCAGGCAGCTGTGTCCTTCACGTTCCCCGGGCAGAAATGAGACATGGGCAGGTGTCACAGCCCCATTCAGCTGCTGGTCATTATTCTGCCTGCCCCGTCAGTGCATCACAGTGCCTGAATCTGGACACGAGGAGGTCGTAGGAAGCCATCCGTGTCATCACCGTCATCTGGATTCAGGCACTTATGTTCCTGCAGGCTCAGGATTCGGAGCGGCCACCAAGGCCATGTGTATCGGTCTGCGGTACTGGAAGCCAGAGCGGCTGGACACCCTCGTGGAGGTCAGCATCGAGTGTGGCCGGATGACACACAACCATCCGACAGGTGCGATGGGGGCGGGGCCTGCTGGGCTGGATGACACAACCACCTGGCTGGTAGGGGGTGGGGTGGGGGTGGGGCCTGCTGAGATGGACAAAACGGGAGGCAGGGCTTAGGTGGCACAGGGTGGCACAACTGGCCTGGTGACCACTCAGTCTCTCTCTTCCCTGATCCACAGGCTTCCTAGGGTCTCTGTGCACAGCCCTGTTTGTGGCCTTCGCTGCACAAGGGAAGCCCCTGGTGCAGTGGGGGCGGGATATGCTGCGTGCTCTGCCGCGGGCTGAGGACTACTGCAAGAGGACCATCCGGCACATGGCAGGTAAGCCCCGCACACTCCTTCCTGACACACCCCAGAACACCCAGGCACACCCAGCACACACGAGCACTCCCACAGCACACCCAGGCACATCCACGGCACACCCCAGGAATGGCTACACTGCATCCCAGCAAATCCAGCACACCCCAACACTCCCATGGCATACCCACAGCACACCCCATATCCAGGCACAACCCCATGTCTCAGCACACCTCCAGCACAACTGTAGCACACACAGCACACCCAGGCATACCCATAGCACAATGGGCATACTCTATGTGTCTCCCTGTTGTGGGTGTGGGGACTCTGTGGTGACCCCTCTGCTGTGTTTTGAGCATTGGGGATACTGTATGACCCCCATGTTCACAACTGGGAAGAGCACACTTGCACTGCGGTTGGGCCTACCTTTGAGGACAGGCTTAGGAGACTGCAGAACTGCACCTTTGCCCCCATTCTTGCTGCTGCAAGCCTGTGACAGGAGCCACATCTGCACTGTGGTTGTCCTGTGGTTGCTGAGCGTCTCCTGCAGCAGCAGAAACTCAGCACTTCATGCACCTGCAGATGCATTGGTGATAATTTCACCCACTCCTTACCTCTCCCCCTCACAACTAGATGATTGTCACTTCCAATGATGTCATATTCTTCTTCCCATCAGAATACCAGGAGCACTGGTTTTACTTTGAAGCTAAATGGCAATTTTATTTGGAGGAAAGAAAAATCAGTGAAGACACAGAAAACAAAGCTGTCTTTCCTGACAATTACAATGCAGAGGAAAGAGACCGGGTGAGTCTAGCCTGACAACTGAGGCAATGCCAGGTTCTGGTGTGGTGCTCAGAGCAGAGTAGCTGGGCAGAAAAAAGGATGGGAGAGTGGAAAGTGGATGGATGGGTGGATGGATGGATGTAAAGAAGGAGAGAGGGAGGGAGGGAGAGATAGAGGAATGAGTGGGTAATTAGGTGGGTGGATGGATGGATAGGTGGATGGATGAGTGGGTGGTAGATGCTGAATGGATGGATGTATGGATGGGCGGGTTGTTAGATGGCTGGGTGGGTGAACGAATGAATGTGCAAGTGGATAGATAGATGGATAAATGAATAAATAGATGGATAGATGGGTAGATGGATGAATGAGTGGATGGGTGGATGGAGGGATAGACATAAATGGGTGGTTGGATGACTGGATGATGGAGGGGTAAGTGGGTAGTTAGGTTGGTGGAAGGATGGGTGGGTAACTGGATGGTGGGATGGATGGGTAGATGGTTAGTGGGTGGATGGATGGATGGATGGATGGATGGATGAATGAGTGGGTGGGTGGCACTACTGTCCCCACTGTGGGGACACACACAGAGGTCTCATACCTTTAACCTGGGTTTTCTCTTTAGACCTACAGGAAGTGGAGCTCTGAGGGACGAGGGGGCCGGCGTGGCCACGATGCTCCCATGATAGCTTATGATGCTCTCTTGGCTGCGGGCAGCAGCTGGGATGAGCTGTGTCGCCATGCCATGTTCCATGGAGGTGAGCCAGTCCTTTTCCATGGCCATGGGCTTCTGGGTGCTCTCCCTGGTCATCCTTCTGGAGTGTCCAGGAACCTCTGGTATGCATCAGACAACCTGCTGACCCCTACATGGCTCCTCTTGTCCCTTTCTGGAGCTGTCCCAAGACAGCAGACTCCACTGCTAGTCCCTGTCCCAACGCACACCTGCCTGGACAGCAAAGGAGACAGGTGCCTGCCCAGAAACAGCCAGAATGATCATCAGGCCCCTCTCTGTGTCTGCTCAAGATTCCAAGTCTGCCCACTGTCCACTGGTGTCTGTCTGAGGCCGCCCCATGGGTCCCTGCTTCTGCAGCCTAAACATACCACAGGTCAAAGTTCAGAGTCCAGGACCCTGAGTGACCTTGACATAAGATAGTGAACAGGTGCCTGGCACTGTGTGGCACGGGGCTCTCGTGGCCATAAGGGGAGACCAATACTGCCCAGGGCCTGAACCTAGTGCTGCAGGAGTTCTGGGGGCTCCCAGACCTGGAAAGGACAAAGAAGCTAAGGGAGGCATGTGGGGTCCCTAGCAGTGCCTGGGCTGGGGCTGTGCAGGGAGGAAAACAATGCAGATGACAGTCTCCTCTGGTTGTGGGTACAGGGATGGTGCAGGGAGAGGAGAGCACTCGGGAAACAGCGTGCTGGGTACCACAGCACATGTGTAGAGGGGGTAGGGCATCAGTGAGAGCTGGAGGGCTCAGCCAAGGTTAGGGAGCTCCTGGTCCCATCCATTGCCCAAAGACTGGGGTCCTGTGTCCACTGCTATGGTGCTGTGCCTCCCTCCACCCACTGCAGCCCAAGCTCCTTCAGGTCCAGCTTCTCCTTCCCACATGTGTGTGCATATACACTCTGGGGGGTTTTTCCTGCCAGCAGGGCCCCAAGACCACCAAAGGGGTGAGACGACGGTGTTCTTTGGTTGCAGAACTACCAGGGACAGTCTGGTGGGGCATGTCCTTTTATTGTAAATCTGGCGCAACTTGTATAGACTAGGAAAGGGGAAAGCAGAAGGGTGGTCCCTCAGTCTTCCCACCCAACAATGACACTGTACCTGGCAAGAAGGCATGTCTATCTCTCTGGACCCTCCAACCAAGTCACAGGTCATATACCACAGTCATGGCTGGAAGCTGTGCCTCAGGTCAAGGGCAGCTAGACCATGAGTCCCATAGAGCACATAAGCTGAAAGCTCTGCCTCGGGTCACATTCACCACGTGTGGCTGGCAGATAGGCTGTGGGTCGCATTTGACTTCTTAGAGTTGCTTATCAGGGAAGTCTCAGCTCAGCTCGTTCAAGGACAGAGAAGAGAGACTGGGGTGCAGCCCACCGCTCTCGCTGCATGCCCAGTGAATGGGCCAGGTTGGGGTCTCAGTTAGCCAGAGCCATTGTCAGGGTCCCCCAGGGACACAGTGTGCCGTGTACCTATGACCTCCCACATAGGCTAAGCAGGCAGGGACCAGGGGTGATCTCCCACAGTGCACTAAGGAGAGGTGTGTGGAAACTGACAGAGCTCAGCAGTACCCAAGGTGGAGATGGGAGAAGCATCCACAACATCTGGGGTTCCCAGCCCCCAAGGTGCAGAATGCAGCATTCTAGAGCCACGAGAGGGAGCAAGAGAGAGGGAAAGAGAGAGAGAGATTAAGAACATTGGGCCCCCAGGCTTACAGCGCAAACACCAGCAGTGGCCTCAACCAAGGAGCAGCGTGGAGCACACCTGGAGTCACAAACATAACAGAGCCCTCCCCCACTGGGGGCAGGAACCAGGTGACCTGAGCCCTCTGCCGCCTCAGGGCCACTCAGTGGGAGGCTGAGTTGGTTTCAGCACACACACACACTCCTCCCTGGCACACACACACACACGCACACTCCTCCCTGACACACACACACACATACATACACACGCACACTCCTCCCTGACTCACACACACTCCTCCCTGACACACACAAACACACACACACCCCTCCTTGACACACACACACTCCTCCCTGACACATACACACTTCTCCCTGGCACACACACACCCTTCCTGACACACACACACTCCCCCTGACACACACACACTCCTCCCTGACACACACACACTCCTCCCTGACTCACACACACTCCTCCCTGGCACACACACACCCTTCCTGACACACACACACACTCCCCCTGACACACACACACTCCTCCCTGACACACACAAACACACACACATACCCCTCCTTGACACACACACACACTCCTCCCTGACACATACACACTCCTGGCACACACACACCCTCCCTGACACACACACACACTCCCCCTGACACACACACACTCCTCCCTGACACACATACACACACACACTGCCCCGACACACTCCCCCTGACACACACACACTCCCCCTGACACACACACACCCCTCCCTGACACACACACATTCCTCCCACACACTCCTCCCTGACACACACACACTCCCCCTGACACACACACACTCCTCACACACACACTCCCCCTGACACACACACACTCCCCCTGACACACACACACTCCCCCTGACACACACACTCCCCCTGACACACACACACTCCCCCTGACACACACACACTCCTCCCTGACACACACACATTCCTCCCACACACTCCTCCCTGACACACACACACTCCCCCTGACACACACACACTCCTCACACACACACTCCCCCTGACACACACACACTCCCCCTGACACACACACACTCCCCCTGACACACACACTCCCCCTGACACACACACATTCCTCCCACAACTCCTTCCTGACACACACACACTCCTCACACACACTCCCCCTGACTCACACACACTCCTCCCTGGCACACACACACCCTCCCTGACACACATACACACACACTGCCCCGACACACTCCCCCTGACACACACACACTCCCCCTGACACACACACACCCCTCCCTGACACACACACATTCCTCCCACAACTCCTTCCTGACACACACACACTCCTCACACACACTCCCCCTGACACACACACATTCCTCCCACACACTCCTCACACACACACTCTCCCTGACACACACACACACTCCTCACACACACACTCCCCCTGACACACACATTCCTCCCACAACTCCTTCCTGACACACACACACACTCCTTCCTGACACACACATTCCTCCCACATTGCTTTCTTACACACATGTTCTTGACACACTCACTGTACACACACACTCCTCATGCACTTCTTTAACTTGCACAAGAAGAGAGCCAGGTTGGGCATGGGCACTGAGTCTGACTAGAGCTAAGGCAGTAGATAGGTTAAGTGTGCTGCCCTGAGCATGCCTAGACCCTCACCCTCCTTCGCTCCACCCTGACGTGCACTTGGCTGGAGCAGGGAGGCAACTATTTGCATGGGGGTACCCAGGACAGGGGCAAAGTGGGGCCATACAGGGTCACTGGTACTGGACCATGTTTGCCCTTGCAGGTGAGAGCGGGGCCACGGGCTCCATCGCTGGTTGCCTGTTTGGACTGCTGCATGGGCTGGATGCCATCCCCAGGGGCCTATACCAGGAGCTGGAGCACCGGGAGCAGCTGCAGGAGCTGGGCACCGCCCTCTACCGTCTGTCCACCGAGGAGAAGTAAAGTGTTCTGTTGTCCCTAGGTAGAGGGCCCTATGTCCACCCGACACAGTCCTGAGTGAGGGTCCCACGTCCACCCACCCGACCCTGAGTGAGAGTCTCCATGTCCACCCGACACAGTCCTGAGTGAGGGTCCCACGTCCACCCACCCGACCCTGAGTGAGAGTCTCCATGTCCACCCGACACAGTCCTGAGTGAGGGTCCCACGTCCACCCACCCGACCCTGAGTGAGAGTCTCCATGTCCACCCGACACAGTCCTGAGTGAGGGTCCCACGTCCACCCAACACAGTCCTGAGTGAGGGTCCCACGTCCACCCACCCGACCCTGAGTGAGAGTCTCCATGTCCACTGATACAGTCCTGAGTGAGGGTCCCACGTCCACCCACCCGACCCTGAGTGAGAGTCTCCATGTCCACCGACACAGTCCTGAGTGAGGGTCACACGTCCACCCAACACAGTCCTGAGTGAGGGTCCCACGTCCACCCACCCGACCCTGAGTGAGGGTCCCATGTCCACCAACACAGTCCTGAGTGAGGGTCCCACGTCCACCCACCTGACCCTGAGTGAGGGTCCCATGTCCACCGACACAGTCCTGAGTGAGGGTCCCACGTCCACCCAACACAGTCCTGAGTGAGGGTCCCACATCCACCCACCCGACCCTGAATGAGAGTCTCCATGTCCACCGACACAGTCCTGAGTGAGGGTCCCATGTCCACCCAACATGGCCCTGAGTGAGGGTCCCACGTCCACTCATCCGGCCCTGAGAGAGTCTCCACGTCCACCCACCTGTCCCGAGTGAGTTGCCCCTTGGCTTCTCCCGTGCCTGCCCCACTGCAGCCAGTCTGTCCTGGCCAGTTTGGTTTCCTACCCACATTTCCTGTTGTCCTGGGTGAGCATCTCCCTCCCTGCTGCACACCCACTTGCTACCAATGTCACCTCTTTTGCCCTCACCCCAAATACAGCATCATGGGCATCCCTGCCCTCAGCTGTGTGAATCTGCCGTTTGACGGGGCTCCTGCTGACCCCACGGCAGCCTGGGCAACCCAGCCATGGCAGCACAGACGGGTGCTGACCCTGAAGCCCACAACCTTCACGTCCATGGTGGGGGGTGTAACCCATGGGGGAAACCAGATGTGCACAATCTGTGAGGCCCCACAGCCAGCAGGGCAGGGACAGGGGACACAGCTCTCTGAGAAGGGACTCCTGATGGTGCTACAAACGACTGTGGGTGGGGCCTCCTGGGACTTCAGTTGGGAGTGAGGCTGAGCTTGCAGGGGGTGCTCTGGGCTGCTGGAATGCTTTCTGTGTTCCCAGCGGGCCTCTGGGTCACTATGCACCCCACGCCCTGGGGCTGGACACAGTTCATGTAACCCTGGCTTCGTGGGGTTGGCAGGTGGCCCCAGGGAGCCCCAGGGTGCCAAGCCCACATGCTTTGATGTGTGGTGAGGTGGCAGACTCATCCCCAGGAAGGAAGTGGTAGCAGGGACAGGGCGTATAGCCACTGCACTAGACTGCGCTTTGGAGCTGGCCCTCGTAGGTCACGTGGCTTCCATGGTCAACACGTTTGTCATGATGTCTGAACGGTGCTGCTCCTCTCCTGTAAAGACATTGATGTCCACCCATGGGACTGCGGGCCGTGTGCCAAGGAAAGTGGCATGTTGCATGGAATGTGTGTTCTGTTTTCAGCATGTCTGGTTGCGAGCAGCTGGGGCTCCACTGGGCACATGTTCTGTGTCTTGTGCCTCTGAAGTAGTGAGCTTAGTTCCATAACAGAATGTACATTCCATGTAGGACATGTGTTCTTCGCATGACACGTGTTCTGTGTTTGGAACATTCTGCTCCCAGCATGTCTGGTTGGTGAGCAGCTGGAGTTCCACTGAACCTGTGTTCTGTGTAGGACATGTGTCCCATGTGCAGTTTGGGCTTTTTGTCTTGCAGTTTGTCATGACTCCTCTCTGAGGACCCCAAGCAGGGGGTCCCCTGAATGCACCATGCTGTTCCCCCAGGGCACAAAAGGCTGCTGGAGCTGGGATGGCACCGGGCTGGGCTTCGGAGGACTGCCTGGCAGTGCCCACTGTGCCCTCACTGCCACGGCTGGCTGGCACCTGGGAGGGCCCTGTGTGCAGCCCTGTAGAAGACCCAGTTGCAACATTGCCTGCTGCCATGGCTGCAGGTGTCCCGTTTCCCTCTGACAATGCTTTGACAGGTGGGGAGAGAGCTCGGGGATGTCCCGGCAGGAGGAGGCTCTGCCGAGCCCCTCAGGGGCAGCACTCAAGAGCGCTGGTAGCCCCAACCTTGGCTGCCTTCTGCAGTTCCCATGATGCAGGCACCTGTATCCCCTGGCTGGCCCAAGGAAGCCCAGGCGGGGTAGGGGGGTAGTCTCTTACCCAGGGAAAGGTGGTTGTCAGACAGCAGGGAGGGACCACAGGCATGCGATAGCCCAGCCCAGGCTTGGCCGTGTCTGTGGCAACGGCCCACATGACTTCTGCCGGCCCAGGCCATGCCCAGGATATCAGCTCCGAGGTGAGGGTGGGTCTGTGTGGATGTTCAGGCAGGTCCCTATCCGTCTGCAACCACATGAAGGTTCAGAGTGACCCCTGGTTGTCACTCATCAGCAGCTAGGCCATAGGACGGGGATCTCACACTCGGGGTGTGTTTGTCCACTCACCACCAAATGGCCACAGGGCAGAAATCAGATGCTCTCGTGTCCCAGGGAGAGAACCCCTGTGTGCTAATGTCTACATACAACCCAGAGGCCGAGGCGCCCACCACCTGAAGCCAGATGCTTCCAGGGACATGGACCCTCATGGACTGACTGACCTCAGCTGTCAGTCTCCTTGTCAAGGAAGTGAAGTGACAGTGGATGTGTCTGCTGTAGACTCTGCTGAGTGTGGTGGTCGCAGTTGCGGGGAGGCTCCAGGAACCCCGTCATGTGGCACTGTTGCTGGCTCACTCCTTCCCTTGCCTCCATGCTTCCCAGCACCATGTCAGGCTTCATGCTTAGGAATCCAACTTGAAATTTCCTGTTGAAGGCAGGATCTCTGTCCTGGTACCTTAACCACCTCACTCATTCTCTTGCTATGACGGGGATTTGGCCAATGATCACTGGCCTGGACAATCATGTGTGGGGAAGTGGTGCTAGGGTTCTGGGAAGGCCCACCTTGGCTGAAGTCCCCCAGGCCCACTACTGCGTGGACTCAGAGCCCTGGGCAGCCAAGCACACTGTCTGTCCCTCCCAGCTGACTGGTGAGGTCCATGGGGCTTGGGAGGTACAAATGGCCCTGCCCCTCCCCGTGCCTGCCAGGGACACAGCCAGGTGCTGGAGCCAAAGGGCCTTGTGACCTGATGAGGGATGGCAAAACCATGGTCATTGTGTATCCATGGGAGTGACTGTGTGTGGGAGATAGCTGCCCAGCTGTGGTCAGAGCTCATCCAGAGGAAGATGGGGGCCAGGACCTTGCCTGGTTGGCACTGGCTCCTCCCAGGCCTCCACAGGGATGCCCATATGTCCAGGGACAGTCAGGCTCCCCTTCCAGAACATGCCAGAACTGCCCTGGAATTGGTGCTGAGAACATAATGTTCTGGCCCCAAGAGAGCTGGGTGGCTTCTCTGCCTTCGACTTCGCAGCTGCCCAGCCCTGACTGGGCTGTGGAACTAATCATAGCAGCACGGGACATGGATCCGCTTCAGCCACAGTGCCAGGCACGGGTACACGTGGCCCTAAGCCTCGAAGTATACCAGAGTGGCACCGAGCGACCCAGGAGTGCCCAGGCCCTCGGTGGGCAGCACAGGCATGACAGTAGCACCTGTGGCAGAGCTCCATGGCTGGCATGTGGTCAGTGTGGCTACTGCTGTCATCTTTGTGACTCATTCTGGACATCTCTGAGATACTGAAATAGCCCAATGAGCCAGTGGCTGCTGGGGGTGGGGCTTGGCCTGGGTCTACCCCTGCCTGCTGGGAGGCCTGCCCACACAGTCACTTCAGGCCTGAGGCCCCACTACTGCCCTGAGGGTCAGAGCCAGATCCATGCCCATCTGCTCTGCATAGGGCTGGAGCTCCTGTGTCCAACAGGGCCCACACAGGCCCCATGGACAGGGCTGCAGCCTCGAGTCCAGCAGTGAGCACGCAGGCTCCTGCAGACATGACTGACCAGGGCTCTGGGTGGGCAGTGCAATCTGCAGGGAGTGCACAGGCTCTGGGCATGTGCAGGAAAGGTGGCCACGGCCAGGCATCAGCAGCTGAGAGCAAGATGGGGGTCACTGGACCCTGTGGCCACCAGGGATGTGGACCATGCAGCCAGCTGGGCCCTCAGGCAGTGCTGGGGGTGCGTGGGCAGCGAGTAGCAGCAAAAGGGGGTTATACTGCCCATAGTTGAAGCAGTGTAGGGGGAAGCAAGTGGATGCAGTGGGGAGATCTGGGATCCCCGGCAGGGAAGACACAGGAGGAGGGACCAGCTCCATCACTTGTGGTTTGGTGCCTGGAAGAACCCAAGGTCGCAAGCGAGACACGGGGACCAAGGTAGAGGCTGAGCTAGGCTGCCAGCAGTAGAGGGTCCCTGCCTGAGAGACTCCTGCAGCAGAGGCCCTGCACAGCTCCAGCCACAGGGCAGCCCCGACCCCAAATGGAGGCAGAGCTGAGAAGTGCGGGCACAGGCCTCAGAGCCCAGCCTCCGCGCTGCCCCCTCAGAGCAGCCCACTCGGCGACCTTGACCGAATGTAACAGGCCTTTCTCTCCACAGCCGGCAGAGGGAGAGGAGCGGCCGAGCGACCCCGGCCGACCCGGAGCCGGCGCTGAGAAAGCGGCTGGGCAGGGTCTGTGCGCCCGCGGCCCGCGCGCTCCTGGACAGCCTGCTGCTGTACCTCGCGGGGCGCGCCGACCGGCCCCCCGCGGCCCAGGGCTCCGAGCCCGGCCACGGCCCAAGCCCGTCCGCGCCCCTCCAAGGCGCCCCGCGACGGCTCACGCGCTTCCAGCTCCTGCAGGCCAAGTTCTTGGGCACGGGCCGC